AATTAGAGAATATTCCACATGATCTAGAAGATTCCACTAGATTTGACTAGGAAATATTCCAACATAATCTAGAAGATTCTATTAAATTTGATTAGAGGATACTTCACATAATCTAAAAGATTCGAGTATAAGAAGATTTATAAGGGTGGTGTAATTACTCAAATAAGAAGTTTTTTTGGGTAATTTGACCGTAACTTACCATATAAGTTTTTTATTTTATTTGTTTTCCTTATACGTGTGGAGTTGAGACACGTGGGAAAGCAAGAAACATTCTTGAACAACAATCATTTATAATGTCAGTAAAATGCCAAAATAATCACGGGAGCTTTAACAAAGTTTCCCCAATCAAACCGTCTGAATCCAAACAAAAATTCAGTACTCTTTACCTTTATCCGTTCGATTCATTTAGTATATATAGTTACATATAAACCCCTAAATCATCGTCATCTGCTGAGAAATACTGACAAAGGATAATCGACGACCATGAATCTGAAACTGTTCTTATTGACGGCGGCAGTATTGGTGGCAGCGAGTTGTGCCACGTCTGATTACGTCCGGCCGCCGCCTCGCAAAGCTATTCATTTTCCTTGGGACGCCAAGGCTTCTCCCGATCCTACACAGGTGAAGTTCATTTTTTTTAATTTTTAATTTTTATATTTTAATACAAGGGTTTGAGAGATAAAATTTCAGCTCCGATGATCAATTCAGTTCTTAGATTTTTTTTTTTTTATTCCATGTACTGGTATATATTTGAATTTTGTGATTTTTTTGACTTATAATTTCTGTGAAATTTCATTTATGTAGACTGAGATCAATTTATAGCAAGCTTTTGTTGGAAACGATGCATTCATATCGAAATCTTCTAGAATAATTGTGATGAGAGCTGTTGAATTCAATTAGAGCCCTAACTTTTTCTCTGCTACAAAAAAAAATCAAGGAATTGGTTTTCTACGCTTTTTCGCGGTACTTAACTACCGATTTTTCGTTGCGTCTTGCACAATTTTTCCATTACAGGTTCACATCTCCTTAGCTGGACCCAAGCACATGCGAATCACATGGGTTACAACCGATAAGCATTCACCTTCCACGGTCGAATACGGAACATCGTCCAACAACTACACTTCAAAAGCAGAAGGAGAAACCACCAGTTACACTTACTTACTGTACTCCTCTGGAAAAATACACCATACAGTCATCGGTCCGCTCGAAGACAACACCATCTACTTCTACAGGTGCGGGGGCCAAGGCCCCCAGTTCCAGCTCAAGACCCCTCCATCTCAATTCCCAATTACTTTCGCGGTGGCGGGCGATTTAGGGCAAACAGAGTGGACCAAGTCAACCCTTGACCACATTGACCAGTGCAAGTACGATGTCCATTTGCTGCCGGGTGATCTTTCGTACGCAGATTACATGCAGAAAAAGTGGGACACGTTTGGTGAGCTTGTGCAGCCTCTTGCTAGTGCGAGGCCTTGGATGGTGACTCAGGGGAACCACGAGAAGGAGAATATTCCCTTGTTGAAGGATAGTTTTGTAGCCTACAATTCGAGATGGAAGATGCCTTACGAAGAGAGCAACTCTGTTTCGAATTTGTATTACTCGTTTGATGTTGCGGGCGTTCATACTGTCATGCTCGGTTCGTATACGGATTACGACCAGTCTTCTGATCAATATAGGTGGCTGAAGGTTAGTCGAGCGCTCTTTTTTTTTCGTTCAATTATAATGTAAAAATATGTTCTTGTTAGGGTAAATCTTTACAATTGACCCCCTTACGTATTACTATTCTTACAATTGCACCCTTGAGGGTAATTTTAGTCTTGAAATTGTAGTATACCAAAAAGACAAGTGTATAAAGAGGTAAAATCGACATTTTTCAATGATTTAAAAAACGGCAATGTCAGACGGAAACAACCCTCATGGGGTTACTTGAGGGTTTTTTTTTCTTCGTAATTTAATCTTAGTCAAGGGTGTTTTCGTAATTTACCTTTGATCTAATGCTAATGACAGTGGTTTTGTTTATTGAATTTTCTTGATTAGGCTGATCTGTCGAAGGTGGACCGTGAAAGGACACCCTGGATTCTCGTATTGTTCCATGTGCCGTGGTACAATACTAACGAAGCCCATCAAGGTGAAGGTGATGAGATGATGTCAGCAATGGAACCCTTGCTCTATGCTGCTGGTGTTGATGTAGTGTTTGCTGGCCACGTGCATGCATACGAACGCTCGGTATAGATTACAAATGACAACTTTGTCCTTCGTTATCAAATCTTTTGACCACTTTTCTGAATTTAATTATTTGCTTATTTATTATTTAAAACAGAAGCGCGTCTTTAATGGTAAGTCGGATCCTTGTGGAGCTGTTCATATCACAATCGGAGATGGTGGAAATAGAGAAGGTTTAGCGCACTGGTGAGTTTTTCGTCTTGGTTAAAAATAAGCGACACATTGTAATGACTAACGAGTCAATAATAAAAATTGAAATGAATTGGCAGGTATAAGAAGCCGCATCCTGATTGGTCGGTTTTTAGGGAGGCAAGTTTTGGGCATGGAGAGCTCAATATAGTGAATTCGAGTCATGCGTTCTGGAGCTGGCACAGAAACGATGATGATGAACCGGTGAAGTCCGATCAAGTCTGGATAACTTCTCTGTCTGGTTCTGGTTGTTTAGCCAAAAAGGATTATGAACTCAGAAAAATGCTTTTGGAACCGTAAAAATCTAATGTTGGATTTCGTTTCGAGCTTCTCCATATTAATATATGTATATGTATGTCATACTCGAGTTTACGGTCTCAGCAGTGTTAAAACGAGTATCACGCATATTGATATATGTTATTACGAATTCTTACATATCGAATGGTGCAAATTCCAATTATTATTATTTTCTTGGTTTTAAGGATAGAGAATGTATATATATAATAGTAATACATACTCACATCTATAGAGTGCCAATACCTCATAATATCAAAATCTCAAAGGCTGCATCATTGTCATCACCAACAATCTTAACCTTTAAAATCCATTTGATATTTAATGTGACCTAACAACAATATTCATCAAGAATCTGGATATATATATATATATATATATATATATATATATATATATATATATATATATATATATATTTCCCTTCCAGAGCACAATCTGCTCATCTTTGAACAAGATAGGAATGCAAGGAACAAGGTCCTGCGCGAGATGACGGAAAATAGAATCAATTGATCATAACTTTTTCTTGAATATTATAAAATAGAGCCTAATTAATTTAAAAAAAAAAAGGTTTTCATACTCGTAATTTGACGCCTATTCTCTTACAGTCGCTTGCCCCGACATGAGTACAGTCGAGCCTTACTATGTCTTCAGTCTCAAACGCTGTCCTCACTTTATCCACAACGTTTACATACACACCGTTCCTAGCTGCAAAATGACAAAGACGCCAATTAGTAATTTCTTTGCAAATTATAGAATCTCGGGATTGAAATATAAAATATTAAAAAAAATTTACTAAGTTTCATTAGAGGAGGCGATTTAAGGCCTATGTTTCGCTTCTCCTTAGTTTGTTCAAACGTAAGACCATCAGCAACATTCTTCACCAGCTTGGGATAAATCGGCGACAAAGGCTTCCATAACATTACTGGAATCTGCTCTCTCTTTTTTGGATCATAGTTACGACCACGGTATATCAAGACTATATTTATCTGACGGTATATAATCTTTCCTCCAGATTTATCCTACAAACACACTACTGCAAACCTCATCAGCTAAGTAAATAAAAACAAATATATATATACATATACATATATATATAGAGAGAGAGATAGAGAGAAAGAGAGAGATTATGTTGGAAAATCAGAGTTGTAGAGGGGTTTTGAAACCTCGAGGTGGAAGCAAATGTTATCCATGTCAAGAGTTGGCACACCCAAGCATTTTATTCTCACCGCCTCTGCTTTTTTCCAGTGGTTATGGATGTCTTCGAGTGTGTTGTGTGTAACACCTCCTTTTCCTACCATTATCAGAATAAAACCCTTTTCATTTCACGTGCTCGGAAAAAAGGCTTCGCAAGAATATGGTAATCCATAACTGAATTGCTAAATGTAGTTTCAATTTTATCGGTACCGTTCCAATTTCAAATGTGATTATCACCGTTTTTTAGTCCGGATTTCGCAGAAGTCGAAACTCCAAATTTGTAGTTACATCCAATTTGAATCAGCTAGATTGAATATCCGGTGAGAGATTGAATATCCGGTGAGAGAGCTATGCATGAATGAGTTGCATCAAATCTAGCTGATTCAAGTGGGATTAGAAACCTAACTAAAATGACTACAAATTTTGGTGTTTCGACTTTTGCGAAATCCGGACTCGAAAGGGTCGAAATCAAATTTGAAGTCGAAACGGTACCGATAAAATTAAATCGACATTTAGCAACTCCCTGATTATAATCTTAATCAAGGAAATACAGAAGAAAATGCCAAATGTTCGAAATGAAAGGTGAAAACGAAAATTCACCCAAATTGATTTGGCGGGAGCAATTGCTGTGCCGATACTTCTCCACGAGCTCCGCAATCTCCTCCTCGGAGAGTGGATCACCCTGAACCCTAACGCGCTCCTCCGCCAGCTTCTCCAAGTCCGGCTTCTGCGGCGCCGGGGCACTTGTTCCGGTCCACTTCCGATCGAGTCGGCCCGGCCCGAACGGTGAGAATCTCTTGGGCTCACGGAAACCTATGGGGTCAACACCGGGGCTGATCTCCGAATACGAGTACATAAAATCGAAGGGCAGCTCGGATTTCGCCGGAAAATCGGTGGTGGTGGTGGTGCCGGAATTGATTTCATTTGTGACTTTTGGAGGTCGGTCCTTCTTCTTAGAAATGATTTTTGGCTTGTGTTTCGTTTTGGGGGTTTCAGTTCGGGTGGGAGAAAATGGGGGGTCGTAAGCTTCTTCTTCTTCTGCAGGTGGAGAGTGGCTTAAGAAACGAGAGATTGAGGGGAAAGACGACGATGGCATATGAGTAAATAATCTGGGATTCAAGGGTAGAGATCGGTGGATTGAGCGACGCCATTGAAAGAACTTCTGCATTCCTTGAGGTTTTGGGTTTAGCAAAACACCGTTCTCACTTCTCTTCTAATGCCAGGTACTTCCTTTTTTTTTTTTTTCTCGGTGTATTTTAAGTTTTATTATTATTAATTTAGGATTTTATATGTCAAAAAATGGAAACTGGAAAGAAAAACCTAATTCGATGATCGGGAATTTTCGGATCGGAATCGACCGAATTCAGAAATTCTATTTTTCGGTCACCTATTGTACAAATTGCATGATAAAGTTGATATTGAAAGTACAGTTTTCGTTAAAAAGTCGGAGATTTTAAAAATATTGTCGAAAGTTAAAATCGAAATCTAATATGTAATCTAATTTCGTTCCAAATAAAAATTGTGATTCGAAACCCTCAAAATTCAAAATTATAATCGGAAATTTTTGGCCCTTGACCGACGGAGTTCGGAGTTTCTGTTTCAATTTTCACCTCTTCTAAATGGAGTCTATTCGGTAGTGACAATTGGTGAAAATTGGAGGTTCGGATTTCTTTAGGTGCATGTGATGTGCACGTCCAACAAAAAACCTACATAAAAAGCAAGATAAGTTATAATAACATAATATTTGCGCGAACATGCGGTTCTTCAATTGATTCAATGTTGGACTCTATAGAACTCAGCTAAATCATTCGAGTAACAAATTCGCTATTTGCTCCGCTAAGCCTTTATAATTTCGGAGAAAAAACGAAAGCTATTACACCACCAATCCGTGGAAAACAATGAACAAAACTTTTTCGGGTTTCCAAAATAATTAATTGGGACAAAAAACCACCACATAACTTGATCAGTTGATCAAATGTTCTTCAGTTCTCAGAGATTTTGCTCAACCGTTCGTTCATACACCGCCTTTGATCTCCAACCATGGATTCAAACACGTCCAAAAGACCATCTAACCCCTCGGAATCTTCCCCCACAGCCTTCATTGCATACACAATACTCTCGATTGTGGACAAATATTCCGCCCTCGGTTGATTTCTCACTTCCCTATATAAGCTCAATTTATCAACATTCAACCCTATGTGAGGCAAAAGTCTCAACCAAGGATTCTCGTTGTACATTCTCCTCGCCTTGGCCCATGTTCCGTCCAACACAATCAAATTCTTCACTTCGAAATCCACCGCCTCAGCTTCGATCGATCTTTCGCTCGGAAACAGAAGCACCGATCCAGGAGGAACTGCAATTTCAAATTCTTGGATTTCTTTGTATTCGTTGCTCTCTTCCAACAGCTTCGTCTGAAGTTTTTTCACAACGAACCCTCGTCTTATATCAACAGCACCTATATCCGATTCGAAAAGATCATCAAAGCTCGTTTCTCGACATTTTTCCGGTGGCAATTCGTGATTTTGGAACGAGCGAACCGCTCCGTATTTTCCAACGGTGAAATTGATAGCTTTAACTTCGGAATCACTCAGAGCTAGTTCTTCTTTCCCATGGAACTTAGGACCAACTACTTCACCTTTCTCACTCCTCACAGTTTCCCCACAGACAGATTCGAACTCCAAATTAAAGTTCGATTTTCCAGATAAAATCGCAACATTCCTGCCAATTTGGCTCCTTTCCACAATTTGTTCAGCTAAGGTATCATCGGTTCCAGCAAACTCAACATTCTCTCTGCTCGGCATTTCATCGAACACCTGGCTGTCTTCATCCAACTTCACACTCGAGTCCGGGAACCGGATAAAGAACTGGGCTTGAAAATTAACATCGGAGATTGTAATAACATCGACATTCTTGAGCCCAATAGTAGCTATTCTGGTGGAATTAAGAGGATGCTTCGTCTCCAGTGTGTGCCGGAGAATGGTGACGGAAACAGAGTTATCGATAATCGGAGTCTGGAGCCGGTTGCAGAGGCAAATGCGGGCGGGCTTGCAGCACGATGGGCAAGTGGGTCTCTTTGTAGACCCGGATTGAGTTACCATTCCGAAAAGGGGGCAACTATTTTGAATACTAATTTTTGCTTAGTTGAATACTACCTAGTTGAAAACCACAATTGAGTACATATTTTTAAGTTTTTTCTTACTTTAATACCAAAATAAAAATAAAAGTACAAAAATACCCTTTCATACAAAATACTAATTACATTAATTTTTCTTTGAAATTACCTATTTGAAAACCAAATAAAAAAAAAAGAAAAAAAAAATCAAACACAAAAACTCCCTCCGTCAACCTCACGCCGCCCGACGCCGCCGCCGCCGCCCAACCATCGCCGCCGCCGGACGCCGACGCCAAACACCGCCTAACGCCGCCCACGCCGCCCAACGTCGCCCAAAGCCGCCGCCGTCGTCTTCTTCGAATAGTAAGTTATAGTTGTTTCGATTTTTTTTTTCTTTAATATTTATTTAAGATTTGAATGTTTGATATGGGTAATTAGGATTTGGTTGTTTTAGGTTAGAATGATCGTTAATTAGTAATGGGTGCATCTGATTTCAGTCGATTTGAGCATTGATTTGAGATTCGTGGGTCGGTTCTTCGTTCTCCATTTTCGACCTGTACATGTCGAAAATGGTGAAAGGGTTGCTTTTGATTTTGTTATTTTCGACAGTTTACTGTCGAAAATGGGTTCAATTATGGACGAAAAGCTTGCGTAAATTTATGTTATTTTCGACAGTAAACTGTCGAAAATTACCCCATATTTCGACAGGTTTCTGTCGAATTTAAACTGTGAATTTTTTTTTTTTTTTTTTTTTTTTTTTTTTTTTTTTTTCCCTATTTTTATTTGCTTGGGTTTATATTATGTATATTAATTTTTATTTGGGGGTTATTTTGCAGGGGAAAAACCCCGTCAACCTCGTATACCTCCGACTGTCTCGAACCGTACAAAGAGGAAGGAATTGTCCGATAAAGGCAAGGGCATAGTAGTCACGACCAAGAAAAAGACCACGACCAAGAAGAAGTCTGGAGAGGGTTCTTCGTCAACGAATCCGGTGCCGGCTGTACATTCGACTGTACAAGTTGGTGATTCGAGCAATGAACCGGTCCTAGGTCCCGAGATACCGGAATTGTACACAAAATTTGATAAGCACATTGCTTATCATATTGTGAACGGAGGGCCAGATCGTTCGGAGCGCGGCTCAGAATTTCGAATACGAAATCACACCATTGAATTTCGAACGGGTCCTTTTGCTTCAATGCTCTTAGAATTTCCCTTGGTTTCACCATTGCTTTCTTCATAGTGTGAACAAAGGAAACATCCTCCTTTGATAATCTTCCGGCATAAGAGTGTCCGTGCAAGTTTTCGAATAAGTTGTGGTTGTGAATACCACAACTAACATCCAATTTCCACTCAGCCTTTTCATCATCCTTGTGTTCCCTTGTCCCCTTCAATTTAAACGGACAATTGCATTTCTTTGAACCGGTGCTCCTTTTTCCCGGTCTTTGATCATCTTCACCTGGTACCTTCTTGCCAACATAATGGCCCCCACGCTCACAACGAACAATCACATACGGTGTCCTACGTCCTCTATCCCCGTCACTCGAACCCCCAATCATTAACACCATTCCAATTCTTTTACATACTTCACGAACCCATGCCATTAAAGCTTCTTTTGTTGGGAATTTTTCGGACGTGGTAAATGAATGGGTGCAATCGATCTACACAAAAGAGTCGAAAATATAAGACAAGTAAATTTGCAACAGGAACAAATTCGACACTTAAGTGTCGAATTATGATGCAATTTTCGACACTTAAGTGTCGAAAATTACCCACAATTTCGACACTTAAGTGTCGAAATCTAAGGGTATTTTCGACACATACATGTCGAAAAATAGGTGTATTTTCGACCTGTATGTGTCGAAAATACATGGCGAGCTTAAAAAAAAAAAAATTTCAAAATCGATGTTTTAGCTCAAAAAATACATGAATACATACCTGAATGGGTTCTCCTTGCTCGTAAACTACCATTCTATTGTCATTTGAGGCCATTTTGCAAGTTGTGTAAGGTTTTGATTTCTTTTGTTTTGGGGTTTTTTAGGAGGGTTTTTGGGGAGGGAGAAGAAGGAGGTGGAGGAGGTGAGGGGTTTGGGAGTGAGGAGGGAAATGTTTTTTTAGGTTTTTGATTATTTGGTTTTTAAGAAAGAAAAATAGTATTTGTAATATTATTTGGTTTTAATTTTCATTAAGGGTATTAAAGTAATTTCCAATTAATTATTTAATTTCTATTTTTTTGGTATTCAACTAAGCAAAAGTTAGTATTCAAAATAGTTGCCCCCTTCCGAAAATCAGGGTTCGAATTGGACGCAATTTTGAGATTTTTTCGCTGAAAGGGTTGAGAACGGGCCGGAATTGGTGGTTTCCCTGATGCAATCCAATTCGGGCCGGAAAGTAAGCCCGCATTTGACAGATTTCCTTATTTGCCCTTTATCTTCTGTTTATTTTTGCAATATATGTAATTAAAGGCATTCTTTAAAGCGGAGTGTGGCTCCAACGCGACGATATTGGTAATTTGACAATATTGCCCTCCAATTATTTAAATGATTTAAAGTAAATGGTCAACCGGAGTTGGTCGACGCCATGAACGTTGACCAAACTCGCGCGTTGAAGAAAGCTTCCAGTTTGAAGATTTCAAAAGATCAAACAAATTGAAAACCCTTCGATTTTTTTCATCCAGATCTCTCAAACTTCTGATCTGAATTTTCCCCCAAAAAAAAGTTTCAATCTCCTTCGCACGAATCAAGTATCGACAATGCACGATTTTTGCTTCACTATTCCGTACGGGCTGCTTCTGGTCTGCGGCGGGGTAATAGGGTACGCTAAGAAGGGCAGCGCAGCCTCACTCGGTGGCGGCGTCGGCACCGGATTGCTGCTCGTGCTCGCCGGTTATGTCAGCCTCCAAGCTTTCCACAAACGCAAAAACTCTTACTTCGCCTTGATTCTCGAGACAGGTATGCTTCGTTTTCAATATTGTGTGTCTGCGTATATGCTTTAATTTGGGAATTAGGTTTGGATTTGTATTGATTTGGAATTGGATCTGCGCGAGAAAAAAAGGAATGTATGAATTAGCTTGTGTGTTGCTGAAAGCACTGAATTTCTACCTTTGATTTACGAATACACGAGATATAGATACAGATCTTCTATTTGTTGAATAATTTGAGGTTTTTTTCATCGATTTGAAAACCTTCCGATAGTTTTCTCACTGTGATGTTATATTTTTCGTTCTCCCGGTCGTTACATCGGTTTGAATCCTGCTTGTTTACTGATGAAATTGCTTCGGAAGTTGCACTGAGAACTTTGCACCATTCTATGATTGAAAATATCACATGGTTTTTGGATAGTAAACAAACTTAATAAGAGTTTTTTTTCTTCCTATGAATCGTGTGCGTTTATTGGTTACGAGGAAGAATAGAAGATGACTGTTACTCATCTCTTAGTTTGTAACTATAAAACAGTTCCGTTTCCTAGATGGAAGAAGCTTTTAAGATGGCAATTTCTGGAAGAACCAGCAATATCCATTATCGTTTTATTTATCATTAGAGCATTGATGTCGTCAGTATAGGACGTCTGCGAAGTAGTATATAGGTGTTAATTTACGGTAACAAATCCCGGCAATTATCAACTTTCCGAGCTTCTTAGAACGAACGAATCACGCAAATTCAACCATTGAACGCACATCGTTTTTATTTTCTTGGTATTTTCTTGTCTGCAAGCAATGTTCTCAGAGTACCGTAATGCCTTCCATTTTAGAAGCATTTCGTAGGAAAGATGATGCATGCTAAAAAAATCAGTTCAAGAATTAATCGTAATTTGTGAATTTTCTACTGTGCGTATGTTTACAATCACTGTCCCGTTTGGGGCTTTTATATTCAACTGATTGATCGTCCTCACTTTTACATGTCATTTATGCTTTAATAGCAGCAGATCGTTTTCATATCTTTTAATTTTTCATGACTATTACACTTATTCTGTTCAAAATTTCGGATTGCTTTGATTTTGTACTCCCTGTATCTCATTTTTCTTCCTTATCCGAAATTTGCTTCAAACAGCTATCGCTGGCGTTCTGACCTGGATCATGGGACAGAGATACATGCAAAGTGGAAAGATAATGCCAGCTGGCATTGTCGCTGGGATCAGGTAACTCAAATGAATTGATGTGATATCGTGTCTGTTCTTCTATAATCAAACTGCACGCGATGAGTTCCAAATGTTAGATATCACTTCTATCACACAATTTTCTCTAATTTCTTAATCTACGTCACTGAAATGGATTGGATGAACTATGCCGTTTCCTACTTATGACGATGATGATATTCCCATTATTAGAAAATAAATGATTTTTATGTAACTAAGAGGCTAAGTCTGAAGAAATTGAGTCGTAAAAGAATTGTATGCCCGAAGTTCCCTAGTCATGGAAGAGGTGGATAATTACTGTATGGTTTTCTATTCTTTTGAACTATTCTATTTCGATTCTACGAAATATCTGATTTTATTTTTCTTTGCTATCTTGTTCTCTTCTGCAGTGTCGTCATGACTGGATTTTATCTCTACAAAATCGCAACTGGTGGGAACCATATTCCACCGAAGGCCGAGTAATGACACATCATCGATCTACGTTTTTCATAGCTAACACTGCAAAAACACTTGATTTGTCGAAATGCATGGCTGGTTAGGCAAAACCATTTTGTTGTTGTGATTTAAAAATGTATTTGACTTGTATCAAGAATTCAAGAATTCTCAGCAAACAACACGTCGTTGTTCTTTTCGTGTTTCTTGGTTGAGATTCCTATTAATGGCGATCGCCTAATCCGTCCAAACTCCAAATTAATGCTTAGTTAATTGGCCATATTGATAATTGAAGCAAACAAGATAGATAATCTTTCTTACAGTTGCAGTTGAGTAAAGAAGACAAAGGCTGTCTACTATTTGTCCTAATACTAATGCTATCTAACTTGGAATAATACTACACGACAAACAAAACTCTATACTCATATGTAGCAAAATTAATTCAGAGAAGGAATAATATGCAACACAAGATTCCTTTGCAATAAGAGGCGAAATTATGAATTAATTGGATTCTTGAGAAACTATATATATAGTTCTTGATATATTTTCGGGGTATTTGCACTCGGCTCCCCTGTGAAATGTCTAATTGGCAAAAAAACCCCTCGGATAAAAAAATTAGCAAATACCCCCCTATAAAAGGAAGTCAATGACAATAAGGACCCTACGAGCGAATCGTGGGATACACTCGCGGTTCATGCAGCTGGGCATGCGTTTTAGGACATTTTAGGACAGGAAAAGACATAAAAACCCTTTGGTAGAGGAAAAAAACCCAGATTGATTCAATTATAAATAATCTAAAGTTATAGGACTAAATTGTAATTATCAAATTGTGGGCTGAAATCGTCTTCCCCAAAATCCAAATTTCTTCTTCGCCATTGAAATCACCACCACCAAATTCCTCACATTTCAAATCTTTTTCACATCTCCTGATTATTATTAACGAGTAGAAAAAAAAAGAAAAAAAAATTATCCAGCAACAAAACAATATGAGAGAAACAGAAGCACATCAAGATGAAGAAATGGAAAAGCTGAGATCGAAAGCCACAGAACTTCTCAATCCAAACCTACTCCCAAATCATCTCCCTCTGCCAAACCCGCATCGCCGCCAAAAACCCAGATGGGCCCCACCTCAAGAAGCTCCTCTGCCTCTCCTTCTCCAACCGGGCCGAAGCCCGGGCCCGCCTGTCGGACCACACCTTAGCACTGACAGACTGCGAGGAGGCCCTCAGAATCGACGATTCCCATTTCAAAACCCTCGTTTGCAAGGGTAAGATTTTGTTGAGTCTGAACAGGTACAGCGCCGCCCTGTGCTGCTTCAACGCCGCCAATCTCGGCCCCCAGGCGACCGAGAATTCCGATCTGGTAAATGGGTTCTTGGAAAAATGCAAGAGGCTCGAGTTTCTGTCGAGAACCGGCGCATTCGATATTTCTAAGTGGGTGTTGAGTGGGTTTCGTGGGAAATCGCCCGAATTAGCAGAGTACATCGGCGCATTGGATATCAAGAAATCAGAAATCAGTGGTCGCGGACTGTTTGCCACGAAAAATGTTGAAAGCGGGACCCTGCTTTTCGTCACTAAAGCCGTCGCTGTTGATCGGGCTAGGTGCTCGACGGTCCAGAAGGCGTCGGTGGTGCTAGACGGGCGAGAAGGCGGCGGTGATGCCGAAGTTTTTCCGGGGTGGGAGGTGGGCGGCGGAGTGAAACGAAGAAGAACTGAAAAAATCTTCAATTTTTGTCCCTTTTTGCAATTTTGGAAATTTTAAAATTTACAATTTGGTCCTATAAATTATAGTTATTTATAATTTGACCACTCATCAAAGAAATAATTTTTGCTTTATTTTTTATTAAGGACAATTCTGTCATTTCACGTAAGTCAACGAGCCAGTGCACACAAAGGGGCGGTGGGCTGACTAAAACACAACATAGGGGGTTATATGCTAATTTTTTTTTCTGGGGGGGTTTTTTGCTTCCGAGAAATAACACAGGGGGGTCTATGCAATTAACTCATATATTTTCATTAAATCATCTATCTACCTAAGAGTTCATGGCTATCTCCCTCCTCCTTTCCCTATTCATATTATCTATCTTTTTCCTCGTTATACGGAAAAGAAAACGACAACCGACAAAACGGGTCCCACCCGGTTCATTAGGCATACCGTTTATTGGCCAAAGCCTTGACCTTTTGTGGGCCATGAGAGCTAACACTGCCGAGAAATGGATGTCCGATAGAGCGAAAAAATACGGGCCCGTTTCGAAGATGAGCCTCTTTGGCAAACCGACCGTTTTCATTCACGGGCAAGCGGCCAACAAGCTTGTCTTCGCAAGTGACGGCAAATTGAGCAATCATCAGACGGAATCTGTGAGGATGATACTCGGAGATCGGTGCCTTTTGGAACTCAACGGGGAAGATCATAAGAGGATTCGGAAAGCTCTTGCCTTGTTCCTCAAGCCAGATAGCTTAAAGAACTACATCGGAAAAATCGAGGAAGAAATCAGCATCCACCTTGAAATGCATTGGGTGGGGAAAACCGAAGTTAAGGTAACACTACTTTTTGCTTCAATATTATCTGTCGCTTCAGAGTTTTTTTTTTTTCCGTCCATATTATTCGTCACTTTGTAGTTCCAATAATGAATTACATGATTTTTCCTGTTTTACCCTTATTAAAAAAAATCGTCTATATGTTCTCTCTAAAGTCCACGTATATTCAATAGCTTTCTTAATACGTGTAAGAATCTTAAACAACGGTTATTATGGAACGGAGGAACTAACTGATAATATATGTACTAAATAAGACGTTGCAATATTCAATTTGTTAAGGTTTTACCATTGATGAAGAAGCTCACATTCGACATAATTTGCTCCCTTCTTTTCGGCCTTGAAAGAGGAGCAAGGAGAGACGAACTCGTTCAGTATTTCCAAGAAATGATCGAAGGAATGTGGTCGATTCCATTTAATATTCCGTTCACACGCTTCAACCGCAGCCTCAAGGCCAGCCTCAGAGTCCAGAAAATGCTGAAAAAACTCATATCCGAGAAAAGGACTCAACTCGCAAAGGGTGGCGAATCATCTAATCAAGATCTCATCACTTGCTTGCTCGGCATTCGTGGGGCCCACGGCGAAGAAGTAATCTCCGAAGACGAGATTATACACAACGTTATGCTGATCATGGTTGCTGGTTACGACACCTCATCGGTCCTAATTACTTTTATCGTTCGGGTTTTGGCGAATTATTCAAATGTACACGAGGCTGTTCTGAAAGGTACGAACTTCGCCTCTTATTATTTTCGAAGATTTATTTATGAATTTGTTGATGTAGAAAATGATGAATAATGACTAATTTCAGAGCAAGAAGAGATTAAAAAGGGTATTTCTTATGGATGTTTCTTGACATGGGAAGATCTAGGCAAGATGAAGTATACATGGGAAGTGGCGATGGAGACTCTTCGAATGGTTCCTCCGATATTCGGAGGCTTTCGTGAGACGTTGGAGGAAATCGAGTATCAAGGGTACATAATACCGAAAGGGTGGCAAGTAAGACAAATTCATTTCAAACCGAATGTATAATTAGGGGTGGAAATCGGAGCGGAAATTTTGAATTCCGATCCGAAAAAAATCCCATTTTGGAACAATACTTTTCGTTCCGAGTTCGGAAAATTCCAATTTCCAAAATTTCCAATTTTTTTCTTTTGGAATGGAATCGGAATTCATATTAGATTCCGCTTTCTTATCCAAATTTAATTTCCGAAAATTCCGACTTTTTTCTTAAAATTACCCTTATACTATCAATATTATTATTTATTTTTCGTAAAAAAATTGACCAAAAAATTGGAATTTCTGAATCCCGGCGATTACAATCCAAAAATTTCCGATTTTGGAAAAGAAAAAATGCATTCCAATTTCTGATTTTTGTTTGGAACGGAATTGGAATTATTTTTCCACCTCTGAGAAAAAAAATGATTTTTTTTTTTAAAAGAGCTAATTCCATCCCGATCCGTCTAATTTCCACCCCTATGTACGGTCATTTTGCAAAATCTCGGAATTTTGATGACTTGTACTAATTTTTTAAAATTAATATGCATACAGGTATTCTGGGTTACTAGCATGACTCACATGGACGACAATATTTTTCTGGAACCATCCAAATTCGACCCGGCCCGGTTCGAGAATCCAGCATCAATTCCGCCTTACGTTTACGTACCATTTGGTGGTGGGGCCCGTATTTGTCCGGGTTATGAGTTTGCCAAGATTGAAACTTTGGTGACAATTCATTACCTGGTTACTCGATTCAACTGGAAACTCTGCTGCAGCAACAACTCCTTCAAACGGGATCCAATGCCAGAGCCTACTCACGGACTTCCGATTAAAATCACGCCAAAGTAAAATTGCTGTCTATTTCGATAATAAATGTTTCAAGAATTTATATAAGCAGATGTTCAATTTAAATACGAAGTTTGTCACAGTTTGAACAAATGTTACTATATGATTCGTACTTTCGATGTGCATTTGTACAATCGAGGGCAACTTAATATCACTTGTATTTTCTACATTACGTATAAATATTATCAACTCTAGTTATATACAAGAGATGTACATTGTACACAGAAGCGTAATTACGATCTAACCATAGTGTTTATTCAGCAGCCAACTGGTCTGGAATATTCTGGCGTCATCGATGGGCATCTTTCGTTCATGTGAGGATAAGGATCCATTGTATTGTAACCAGGCAATTCCATCCGATATTTTCCTTTAATTTGGCAAAACGGGAGTTTTACCGTGTCCGCGTCGTTATTGCACCACTCGGGCAAACGGGTCGAGTTGTTTTCGAACAGCTTGAGAGAATACGCATCTTTTATCTGTAAAAGAAAAAAAAAAAAAAAAAAAGATGTCGGAGACGAATTAATGAAGATAATCAATATATATAGATTTATTTTTATGTTCGATGTGGCCGGCATCATAATACTCACTGTGAACTCGGTGACTTGAATAGAGGTGGCGAGTTCACCGAACAATCCGGCTTCTTTGTACATTTCGAAGATAAAAGCAACGCACGATGTTGACTTTCCGTCAACATAAATCCAATCATCTTGTTCGGGGATTGCCAGTAGTTCACCGAAAGAAGATCCGCGCTTCTCCACTTCGACAAGAATTTCAGAAAGACTAAAGTTCTACACGGAAAACAATTAGATATATTTAGTGTACTATAATGTACTCGTTCCTTCCCATTTAGTTGTCGCACAATTTTTGAGAAAATCAACAAATATGCATGGATTGTACGGGAAAAAAAATATAAAATCACGAAAATACCCTTGTCGTTAATTGATTCTCAGCTAATTATCTTTCAATTAATTAAGAGTGATAAAGGGAAAAGTTGATAAACGTGCAATTAATGCTTCATGTGACAAATTATTTGGAACAAAAGCAATTATCCACAGCGACAAATAACACATGCCTAAAATTAATATATATATAATATATATATATATATATATATATATTAAAAAACCTGAGTTCCAAGTCGTTTGTTCAATGCCTCGTTCCATATGTTACCAGCGTACGCAGGCTTCATTTGAGTCCAAACTGTCATAACAGAAGCAACCTGTAATAAAACCAACAAGTTAAATCAGACGAAGAAGCAAAAAAAAATGCAGTTAAAAGTATCGACGAAACAAAAAAAAAAAAAAAAAAAAGAAAAAGAAAAAAAGGAAGTACCAAGTGAGCATCTAAAGGAGGTGGATAATTTCCACTAACTGTGTCGATCCAGCTGAATATCAAGTTATGATAACCGTAAGGTTTTCCCGACATGCTTTTGGCATATTCCCATGCAGCTGTCTCGTTGAATACGGCCCTTAGTTCGGGATGCAAAGGAAGCAATGCTATTTGTGGATTCGTGTCGTCTTTTTTCAGCTCGTATTCCCACCATTCATCCCATGGTAATATAGCAATAACATCCTCCCCCTAAAAACAATCAACTTTTACAAATACACGTCTTATTCGCAAATTCACAAAGGACGCATCGAAAATCAAACCAATACCTCCTCGTTTTCGTGTCCCGATTCTGCAACCCATAGCTTCCCTTCGGAATCCCTTAAGCAGACAGCGGTGTGGCCCGCGTAAGATCCGGTGACCCATTTTTCTAGGGTTTCGAAACCGCCCCACAACCCTCGGATTTTGGACAGGGCGAGAAAATCGCCAGAGTGGATATCTTCGATAGTAATGTTGGTGATCCACGGTTGAGGTCTTTCTTCGAAGGTGGCACCCATGTGCTTTTCAAGAAACGCAAGATTAGCACTTTCGCCCCACTTAGTATTTGTGAATAGAGGCACCACCTCCCACATAGCTTGAAGAGTTCCCAACATTCCCGCTTGCATGAGAAAAATTGAAACTCCCCGATTCTTGACCTGATTTTCATCGAGCCGGTTCGTATTTAAAAAAATATATATATGGAAGCAAAATTATGATTGGAAAATAAATTAAGTCAAACTCACGTATTCGAATTCTGCTTGCGATTCCCACTCTTTGAAGTCGAGCGTGTGCTCTCGGGATAGAATGTAATAGTCCCACGTCACACGATATGGAGTGGCGAATACATAAAGATCCATACATGTCCAACTATGTGCTTTGCTAACCTGGCAAATCGAAACTAAACATTAACACTCTTGTAACAAAAATAAGCATTAATTGCTATTTCCACATGTAATAGTTTCTGATTCACACCTTCACAATGCATCGACAACCAATCTAGAAGAATATGCATTAACTTAAGCCCACCCTTTTTTTCACAATTTCCTCATAAATATTCAAAAGGTTAAATTACAGCCACCCCTAAGGTAATGTTAAATTACAAAAAAACCTTTCATGTTTGGATAATTACAACCACCCCTTCAGCTATGAATCTTCTTACACGTCCACCCCTATGATGTCGAATTGAGTGGAATCTTCTAGATTATGTAGAATATTCTCCAATTTGTACCCATTTTACACTATTCGAGCTCCACAATTTGAAACAAGATGATCATAACATGTGTTTCTTGACTTGTAAATATCAGATTGTGATTGTGGTGGTGCATCATGATGCATCAGAAACTGCATTTTTGCACAAAATGAGTAAAACCAGAGAATATTCCATGGAATCTATATGATTCTGTTAAATTTGATGACGACACCATAAGGATGAACGTATAAGATCAGATAAAAGGGTGGTTGTAATTATCCAAGAGGAGGTTTTTCGTAATTTGACCTTACTCCCGTATTCTCCCATATTCAAAATAAAAACTTGAACAACAAAATTCCAATATTATCAATACCAATCATCAAATGTAAAACAACCTCGGAAAACAAAAATCAAGAATCACAAGAAGGATTAATTACATCTACAAGACAGAAGAATGGCGACAAATAAAAAACCTTAATATGGAGAGTGCCACCCCCAAATTGGGTTCCACTATTGTTGTGAAAAACCAACCAAGCAGTATTATTGTAGAAGCAAGATCCCTTCCAGTTTAAGACGGAATTGTTCGAAACAGAGGCGGCGCCGACAAAGGACGGCAGAAGGTCCGCCGCGTTGTTGAGTTTGTTTAAAATAGGCCGAGAAATTTGTCTGGGCAGAATGGGTAGTACGTCGACGGGGCGAAAGGGTGCTTTAAAGGCTTGTACTTTCTCGGTTCCGACGAGTACTGCCAGTAGTAGCGATAATATCTGATAGGATTTGATCATCTTTGAAGGCGATGATGGAGAAAGATTGGGTTTTTTTATCTTTTTTCTTTCCAAAAAAGATTTGTTTTTAGTGAGAGTAAAAAGAGCTGTTATAATTTAAGAAGGTTTGACTTTATTTAATGTGGTTTTTGGCCGGATGAAACTAGGAATATGCTGCAAATTGTCCGACGGGTTAGCTGGGATTAATGAATATGATTGGTGCCTTAAGCTCGAGCCTGGCATTCATTTTGACTAGCTCGAACTCGAGCACTTCGAGTATTTTTTTTTTTTTTTTTTTGGTTCGAGCTCGAATTCGAATCTGAGCTATTTTGTGTATTTTTTTTAAGTTTTTATGATATTATTAGAATTCTATTATTATAAATTATAATAAAAAAATCGAAATAAAAAAATGACTTGTAATATCTTTTTATTTATTTATATAAATTTATTATCTATTTCTATATTAATTATATTTAAAAAAAAAAAGAAAAAAAAAACTCAAGCCGGCTTGCAAGATCACGAACAAATAAGAATGAGTTCGGACTCGATTCATCAGATAATTCAAGCTTGAAAAATTCGAGTTCGAACTTTTGTCGGCTCAACGAGTTCACGAGCCGGCTCAGCCGGTCAGCTCATTTACACCTATTCATAAGTATTATAATAATAAAATAAAATAAAAATATATGTATATATATATAAAACAAAAATACCATTCATTATCTTCACATTTCTTGTGAAACAAAAATTGTTAGAACACAAATTGAACACGATTACTATGCCCCACGCAACGTAAATAGCAACCACATTTTGGACAAAAAGTTGGATTTCTAATTGAAACCACAAATTTCAGTTTCCACTTTTCCAATTGCAAAAAATAGTACAACCATACTTCAAAAACTCCTTGCCGCCACCGCTATTTCTCATCAATGGCTATTTTGGCTCAACCTGCTCCCTCTCTCAGGCCACATTTGCCGCACCGCCGCCGCGCCCGATTCTCCCATCAAATTTCCCTTCTTACCCGAGTCCATTGCTCCGCCACCGCGCCATCCAAGCCCCGCCGTCCCAACTCCGACAATCTAACCCTCGATCCGACCCTCCTCACTCCGGCAGCGACCCGGCCACCCGTGATTAATGACCCAGCTCTGAAATCAAACTGGTCCCACCGTGCGTGGGTAGCAGGCGGCTGCACCACCGTGTTAGTTTCTCTGGCAAAATCCGCTGTTGGTGCGGCCGACTCGCACATCTGGCTCGAGCCAATCCTAGCCGGCTTAATCGGCTACGTGATGGCCGACCTCGGCTCCGGAGTCTACCACTGGGGCATCGACAACTACGGCGGCGCTGGAACCCCAGTTTTCGGATCCCAAATCGAGGCCTTTCAAGGCCACCACAGGTGGCCCTGGACGATCACGCGCCGCCAGTTCGCCAACAACCTGCACGCCCTGGCCCGGGCGGTGGCCTTCGCCGTTCTGCCGATAATTCTCATCTGCGACGACCCGGTTGTGCTCGGGTTCGTCGGAGTGTGCTCCGGCTGCATTATGTTCAGCCAGCAGTTCCACGCATGGGCCCACACGACGAAGAGCAAGCTGCCGCCGTTGGTGGCGGCCCTGCAGGACGGAGGAGTGCTGGTGTCGCGGTCGCAGCACGCGGCGCACCACCGGGCGCCGTACAACAACAACTACTGCATCGTGAGCGGGGTTTGGAACGAGACGCTGGATAGCTTGAGGGTTTTCGAGGCCATGGAAATGGTGATCTTCTTCAAGTTCGGTGTGAGGCCGAGATCTTGGACCGACCCAAACTCCGATTGGACTGAACAATCTGAAGCCACTTCTTTATCATCATAAATAAATCACATTCTATACATATATAAAAAAAAATGTATCTTTATCTTTTACAAATGAAATAGGAATAATTGATTTGTAGAAACATTTATCATTTTGTATTATTGATTCTATGGGCTGCTGATGCAAAATAGTTTAATGTAATTAATAAGCTTCTTTGTATGTTCATTTGAATGTTTGTGAAGATCAACTTTGCATATTTCTGTCAAGATGAAACGAGTCCGTTGAGTTCGATTAAATTTAGAAAATAACTGCGACAAAGGTTGTTCTAGTTTCGAGTGACCTTGTCATTCGACCCTAGTTTAAACCCGCATGTCAATTCTTTCTAGACCGAAGTCGTCACATATAGTTAAGTTAAAAGATTATAAAACGGGTGGATTTACGGATCCGCAAGTGTTTTCCCGTTATCATAATTAATAAGCGCCAAACATTGTATTTAACACCGTAACCATTATCACTTTAAAACCACATAATACGCTCGTAGGCCGACAGATAAAATCACTGCATAGCCAAGTAAAGATTGTTCCTTAACATAGGTACGCAAAGTGGCTATATATATATATATGTGTGTGTTCAAATGCTTAAGATATACATCCGGGCTTCGCCTTCTTTTGACCATTTTCTGTAAATTTATTTTTGAGTCGAACAACATAAACTTTCTAAGCACAGTATGCAGGAACAACGGCTTGACGGTATACGAAAGGTCTGACAGTATGGGAATAACCTGAGGGGTGGTTATAGCTGAACTTCACACCGAAGCTACCATCTCCTAAATGCGTGCAGTGACTGTGGAAACTGCTGATTGGCCTGGCTAGACAAGCATCCCACCTTTCGCTCTCCGGCATTGTCTCGGCCACCGTGTATATCCCGTTTGAATTTGTGAACGCTTGATAGTTCAGAACTTCACCCGACTTTGTTATGCAAAGAACTGCCACCTCAGCACCTATCCACAGAAACACGAAATGAAACATAAGGAGGTAGTATATGAGCATATGAGCATATGCATTTGTTTCAATATCTAATTTCCGACAAAATGTTTCCTAGGTTTTTTCGTCATCACATGTGGTCAAAAGATCAACCATGAAGCATATAAGGCGACGAAAATTATCCGACTCTGTGAATGCACCGATGCACAAATAGGTGGTATTTATCGTTTCATAGAAATACGGCCAAGATATGGAACTTCCGTACTCCGAGGGATGCCTAATTGAATTAAAAAGGAAATGTTATCACATATCATAGACTCAACAGAGGATATTGTACTTCGCGATCACTCGTAAACTTGTTCAAAATGAATATCCAACCAAGCAACTAATATACGAATCAGAATGTATGCTTCAAATTCTTTCTCTAGAAAATAAAAAAGGAAATAAATAGCAAACACTTGCATATATTACACCCACAAAACCTAGTTAACTATAACATAATCAAAATCATCGCATTCCAGTTTCAGCAAAGCTCCTATTGGCAGATGAAGATAAACAAATTGGCAGAATTAGATCATCAATTGCAAAAAATGATATGAAGAATATTCCGAATACTGAATCAAAGCTACTAAAAAAAGCAAATTGGAGATTAACCCCAAATTGTACAAAAAAAAAAACCCTAAAAATCCATAATCAGAAAAAAGTCTGACCTTGTAGAACATGATCTTCGGGTCCAATAGAAGAGTCTCCACACACATCACAAACCACTCTGCCATGGATTTCACCAGTCCACGAAATCACTCCATCGGCCATCAAAATTGTGAGGAATAGACCCGCAGTCAATAGCCCTATCCAATTGGACTCCATTCGCAACTCAATTGCTGGATCGGAGCTTCTGCGAACTCTTACGGCGGCGAAGAGGTGGAAGCGGTGCTGCGTTCGGCGAGGAGATGTGCTGCCGTGCTTTCCCTCTTTTGCTAGCAACTGTGAACTGTAGTGGCTGCTGTTGGAGAGTTTTTTCGATTTTTATTTTATTTTTATTTTATTTTTATGTTTTAATAAAAATCTCTCATACAAAAAATATGTGGTCAATAAGTTAGAGAGTAAATTTTGTTGAAAATATTTTGCAATTAGGGGATTAAATTAGAAGGATTTCGAAAAGATCTATTTTTAAAAGAGAAAAACTAATTTCATTTTGGATAAAAAAAAAAGGGTAAATTACAAACACCCCCTGAGGTATGGTCAAATTACAAAAACACCCATCTTGTTTGGATGATTACAACCACCCCCTCAGCTCTTCAAATTTAGTGGAATCTTCGAGATTATATGAAATATTATCACTTTTGTACCCGTTTTATACTATTCAAACTCTACATTATGAAGTAAGATGATCGTAATATGTGATTTTTAGCTTGTGTATATCAGTTTGTGGTGCATCAGAAACTGTATTTTTACACAAAACGAATACAAACTAGAGCACATTCCACGAAATCTAGATGATTGTATTGAATTTGGCACAATAAGGGTGGAGGTGTAAGAAAAAATCATAGTTGAGGGGGTAGATGTAATTATCCAAACAAGAGGGGGTCTTTTGTAATTTGACCATACCTCAGGGGGGGGTGTTTGTAATTTACCCTAAAAAAAACAATAGAAATTTTTATTTTTTGAAAAGGGAAATAACAAAAATTGTTCCAAAAAAATTATCGAAATCGAAATTCTACATTTTATTCAGCTATAACATAAACACATAATAAAAATGATATTATATATAATTTTATTTTGAAAAATATCAATATTTCTTTAATTGTTTTTCGAAATCAAAATTGGATCTGAAATTGAAATCTCTTATGTATTTCAATTCGAAATTCGAATCCCAAAATAAATAAATAAATTGAAAGAAAAAAAGATACTAAAGCTTTTGTAATTTAGAATGAAAATTTCAAAATAAAAAGGCTTAATTCCACTTTGCACCTTTGAAATATACCATTTTGGCACTTTGCACCCTCGAAATAAATTAATAGCACTTTGCACCCTCGAAATACAATAAATCATGCATAATGCACCCCAAATGAATTTTTAAAGCTAAAAAATATAAATTTAATATTTTTAGTGATATTTTTTTAGGATGCCAAATGTTAAATATTTTTTTTTATTCATAAATCATTCTGAAACTATAAAGTTCAAAAATAAAAATACATTTCATCAACATATTTAAAAATTATATTTTTTATCAAAATAAAATATTTTACGAAAAAAAAATCATTCCGCTATTCCGTTATCAAGTTATCTGAAAATTATATTTTCTTCCAATTATTTTCACCTAATATTTTCAAACAGTTACATAAAAGATCTATCAATCGAATAATTTAGTGATAAAATTTTATTTTTTATTTTTCTTTTGTACGAAAATGTAGATTTTTTAAATAATCCGGTGTAATTTTTATTTTTTCGCACTTTGTCCACTCGAAATTATGTTTGAGGTTCAAGAAAATAACAATTTTTTTTTTATTTTGTACCCCAAAAAGAAAAACACCAATGGAAAATGAAATTGCCTTTATTATTCAATTGAGGGTGCATTGTGAATGGTTTATTGTGTTTTGAGGGTGCAAAGTGCTATTATTATTTTTCGAGGGTGCAAAATGCCAAAATGGTATGTTTCAAGGGTGCAAAGTGGAATTAAGCCAAATAAAAAAATAAAAACAAATAATAAAATTAATCCGGGACAGGGCCAGAAATCTTCTTGTAGCCAAACAGGCTCGGCCCAGAAAATAGGTTCCATTTGCATAAAACCCTAAGCAGAAGTGAAATGAAAACCAAAACCTCCATTCGCCGCCGCCGCCGCCGCAATCCTCTTGGAAAGCGAACGGTACTCCGATAATCGGTTTACTGTTGCATCTTCTCTATTCTTTTTTACTACAGTTTTTTTCTTTCGGACAAAGCCCTATTGATGAACGTTATATATCAAATTAAAAGTAGTGGACTGATCTCCATTGATGATAATCTTGTTCTGAAGGGTTTTCTTTAAAAAATGTTTTATTTTCATTTTGATGTTTGAAATTTTCTGCAATCCCAGTGATGAAATTTTCTCAATTTCTAACGTTAAAAGTAGGCTGATATTATTTATTGATGAGGATTTTGGTTCTGAGGGATGCTTTTGTTGATTTAAAGATGATAACTTTTTTACATTGTTGTGTTATTTTATTGATTTTTTTGATACTATTGTTGTATTTAATCTAATAATCCCTTTGAAGATCTTGCAGATATTAAAGTAGTGGACTGATTCTTATTTGATGAGAAAGCTTGTTCTGAGGGATTTTTATCTTACAATATTTTAATTCTGTTTTTTTTTTAAGTGATAGGTTTATTAATTCTGCATAAAGAAGAAAATGTATATCGATTTTCATTACTTGGTTCAACTTTGTGTTTCTTCAATTAAAAGCGAGAACTTTGTTACATACTTCAAACATTTGCAATACTGAATCTTGAATGTTATTCGTTAGTTTTTTGTTTCTTACTTGCGGTGAATATCGGACTCGATGTGAGAATGATTTTGGAGACGATATTCAGAAATTAGTTCAACCATGTTTTTTGCTACATAAAATGTATAGCAGTAATACAATTGAAGTAGCTGCTTTGGAAAATTATTTTATCGTACCATCCATCTCTGTATTTTTTGTTTGACGGAACCAATGAAGTTTTGCAGTCTACAAGAGTAACGGTGAAGTCGGATTGTGGGCCCGGAATCTGCTCGTTTGCAATGAGACATTTGTGAAAACTTTTAGCAAATCTCAATGGTCGGCTATTATGATTGCTCGATGAGATTTTTTGGTGCGCTCGTAGATTAAACTAGAATACTTTCTTCATCTTTTGGTTCACGTCTATTCTCTTTTGTTAAGATAGATTGTAATCATCTCGCTCATGTGCTTGCGAGCAAAATTCTATTTATTTAGCGAAATATTAAATTATCGAACTATTAATTTAGTAGATTATTACCGAGTTGGGATCGAAAAAACTATTATTATATAAGTGAGGTTATTAATTTATCGAGTATTAATTTATGGAACTTCTAATGAAGTTGGTAGGACAAGACATATTCTTCTTGGAGTCATTTGATTAATAATAATCTTTCTTTTTCAAAAATAAAATAAAATTACTCCTTAGTAATAAAAACATTTAAACTGTATTTGATATTTATTTAGTTCAATAAATACTTGTATTGACGAAACAATTGTGAAAACAATTAGCTCTTACCTTGAAGAATTCACTTCTTCTTTTTTTTCTTTTTTTCTTTTTTTATTGTTTAAATGATAAATCAACATCGACAAGCTCAAGCTCCAACAATGCATATTATAGTGTAGTAATTTATATTTTTTATTTTTTGGATAAGAATATAATTATAGGGAAGGGGCCGTGTTATTTTCATCAGGAGTGACGTGGCACTGTCTTATGTAATTTGCTCAAGATCCATTGTCCTAATTCCTAAACGAGTTTGTTAACACCAAAACCATATGCTATGTTTAGAAAATTATTTGATGGATTGAGTCAAATACATTTTCATAAACATTTACGCAGACAAAAAAGAAAAAAAAAAAAAAAAGAAATCGAAAATAAGAAGACCGAAACTACACCGTTGAATCCCTTTTCAGTTTCTTGCTTGAGGGTCCGACCGGAGAAAGCTTGCAGGAAAATTTCTTTCATGCAAGCTGGAATCGAACCTTCTTTCGACGGTGTATCCATATTTTTTTCCTTTTCGAAAATGGTTCGATTGAGGTAACGAAAAGGAGGAAATAAAAAAAGGGAAATAAAATGTTGAGTTGTTTCTCTTGTTGTATGACACAAGAAAACATCGAGCAAAAGTCGTTAGAGAAGAGCATTCGTGAATATGAGGATACAAAGGCCTTGGCCTCGATCGCAAATATATCCTTAAAAACCGGTAAGACCATATTATATTATGTCTTGATTGAAAAATGAAATGTATTATTATGTCTTTATTTCTGGGGAATTAATGTTTATATATATTATCTCTGCTGTCAACAATCGAAAGGGACATGAAATTGTATGTAAATGTGGATAAAGATTTCGATTTGAAAGTTCTTGATTTATGAAACGATCCCATCTCCGATTTTTTTTTTCTTGTTTTGAAAATAAAAAATAAAATGAAAATTGATAAGGCTATTAGATATGCAGATAGCAGCAGGAGAAGGTACTTAGCCGAAGAAATAGACAAACTCGGAAAAAACAACATCTCCGCCGACATTTTCACGTTCCACGAGCTGTCTAATGCCACGCAGGACTTCAACACTGATAATTTGATCGGCGAAGGCGGATTTGGGAGGGTCTACAAAGGCCACCTCGAAAGAAAAGACATTGTAATTAATTCTTCGAACCGCACTTCTAAAATTCATCATCGAACGAGATTTCAGCTAATTTTACGTCTTTTTCAGGAAGTTGCGGTCAAACAGCTCGACAGAAACGGTTTCCAAGGAAATAAAGAATTTCTAGTGGAAGTTCTAATGTTGAGCCTTCTTCACCATACGAATCTCGTTAGTCTAGTAGGGTACTGCGCCGAGGGAGATCAAAGAATTTTAGTCTACGAGTACATGGCAAACGGCTCCTTGGAAAATCATCTCCTAAGTAAAAGAAAACGAAAATTCAAATATTTCACCATAAATTTTTTTCAAGAATTTGCCTTGTGCTTATAATCTTGTTGACTATATATAGTTTCTTCTTTTGTGAAGATTTGGCCCCCGATAAAAAGCCTCTCGATTGGGAAACGAGGATGAGAATCGCTCAAGGTGCGGCGAAGGGGCTCGAATACCTGCACGAAACGGCTAACCCTCCGGTTATTTATCGGGATTTTAAGGCGTCCAACATACTTTTAGACGGGGAATTCAACCCGAAACTTTCCGATTTCGGGCTTGCTAAAATAAGCCCGGCCGGTGGAAAGCCCTACGTTTCCACGAGGGTGATGGGGACCTACGGCTATTGTGCACCGGAGTACGCGTCCACCGGCCAGCTCACCACGAAATCCGATGTTTATAGCTTTGGAGTTGTCTTCTTGGAGATGATCACCGGTAGAAGAGTTGTCGATAATTCGAAACCGAGCGAAGAACAAAACTTACTCGATTGGGTATGGTCTACATTACCAAAATATTTTATCACGGGTTTATTTATTGCATTCACCACCACCACCATGTAAACTATAACAGTAGAGCCTAGATACCAACTCTTCTAATCAGTACACTAAAATTGAACAAACACGGAGGTCTTTTTTTAGTGACGACTTTGAAGTTCCGATTATTTTTTTTTTGCGGAAAAATTTGACAGGCACGGCCATTATTTAAAGACAAGAAGAAGTTTCATCTAATGGCGGATCCGTTGCTAAACGGGAACTACCCGGAAAAGGGACTAAACCAAGCTCTTGCGATAGCGGCAATGTGTCTACAAGAAGATGCGACTACTCGGCCTTTGATTACCGACGTTGTTTCTGCCTTGGAATTTTTATTCGTCGCTAAAGGGCAAGAAGAGGCTGATCAAGATGATGATGATGCTGATCATGATAAACAACAATAGATCTACTACACAAGGTTGTATTATTAAATGTAAAATCATATAGTATTAAGACAATTTTGATTGATATTCATACGACGGTTTGGCGAACATAGCGATTATTATTTAGACTCGATTTTGTAACGTTATTTTTTTAATTCAAATTATGTTAGGGGAGTGAGGGAGCATGGTTTGATTGATTTGCTTTAAGTCGAGTCCCAGAAAATATATTTGTTGATTGATTTGGAATTATTTGCAAATTCTGTTTCTATTGTTTATGATTATGATGATTGATCTTCTTTTATGGTCGCAAAAGCTTCTGAAAAGTAATTCTAAGTTTTTTTTGCCTCATAATCATTTTTGAAGCTCAACTTTTAAAATAAGCGTTTTATAATTAACTTAACTCATAATCAATTTTTGCAAACACCAGCCATACATTACTAGGTTGCTTCACGTTAATCAGCCAAACAACTTTACAAACCGGTAAATTTGCTACCGGTCGGAGTTTCCGGTTCTTGCCGATTTCAATCTGAAATATTCCAATCTAGTAACTAACATTTTCATGCCGATTTTTAAAATTTTGATTTCGATTTTTTTTTAAGTTTCAATCATGATTGGAATTATAAATGCAACTATTAAAGAAATCGAATTTTTTATGTGATTTAATTTTTGAAAATAATTCCAAATGTTCAAAAAATAACTCTTAAACAAAGGTTGCATATATGATGGAAAATACAGTTTTCATCCCTCAAGTTTGCACCAATTTCACATTTGGTCCCTCATATTTGAAAAATTAAACACTTTTAGTCCTTTTCGTTGATTTTCCATAAATACTAATGGAATCAAGTGTGTACCCATAACTGTGTTAACTATCCGACTAATAAATTGAAGTAAATGACAAAAGTGTTAAATTATTAAAACATGAGGACCAAATGTGGAATTGATGCAAATATGACTTTCATTTTTATTTTTATTTTTTCTTGATAAGAAGCAAAATATGAAATTAAACAAACCGAAGTGGGGCAGCAATGTAGGAAAAGGTCAAGGGGAGCCCAACCCAGCCGAGAAACACAAAGATTAAACGAAAAAAAAAAATTGTCGGATCTTGCCAATGATTTCTTAAATAATCAGACAAAAACCCAAAATTCACGTCGTTCGGAGGTGATATTAGATTTCCTCGAAGCGACAATCGAAAACACGCCATTTTCAAGATTCGATTTTTATTTCGGAACTCTGTATCTGCTTTGTGGGCTCTGCATCAATCGATTCTCAACCCTTTTTTGCCGAAGGTCCAGATAATGGGTTTTGTCGGTAATGTACAATCGTCAATGATTATGTAGTTTTGTTCGCAGGTTTTAAGGTTTATGAAAATGTTTATTACATCTGTTTCACTTGTTCATTTTTTCTGTGGGGTGGTTGGCTGCTTTTCCCCCTTTGTCAGATTTTTTTAATGGGTGAAATTGATTGAGCCACAGTTCAATTAAAACGATGCAGCGATGTTAGGTGCCTTTTGATTTTGACCTAATTATTTCATCTGGAAACAATTAATCCATAACCATTGATTATTTGAATTAGGTTAGTTTTTTTCAGGGAAAAAAAGTCACTATGAATTAATGTTGGTAGTATACAAGCATTATGAGATGTTTTTTTTTTTATTCCAAAGTTACTCCACTCTTTGATGTAAATATGTAATGTACCCCTCCTCGTTTTTATCTACTAGTAAAAGTGTTATCTTGAAATGGAAATATCGGTTATATCTCGACGGGGGTGATGCATTTGCTTATAAAAATGTGAAAAATCGTGTATCGCATGACTATCGTGTTTTTGAGTTCGATCGCAATTTAAACGAAAAGTGTATTATAGAATTTAATTATCTGCATATGTATATATAATGTTTGTATCTGATCTAGTTGAATCAAGACTTATGTGTTTGACTATGCTCTTTCTTTTTTCAGGATTCTGAATCGACAACAAGCCCGTTTTTTGAATAATAACTTACTACAGAAAATATCCTTACACTAATCGGAACACCATGGTTCAGACATTAGAAGCTATAAGGGGTGGAGGAGGATCCGTGAAAATCGGTACAACTGGCACAATCAGTGCACTAATGACAAGAGAAATAGAATATTCTGCATCTAAAGTTCCTCCGCTTTGTACTTCTGCTCCGACCAATGACGTCACTCCTCGAAAACCGAAACCAAGAACATCATCGGACGAAGCAAGCAGCAGCAGCACAACCACAACCGCAAGCACCGTTAAAAACGAAGCGAAAAAGACAAAGCACCAGTCCGTACGAACCCACCAAATTCCGATGCTTGCAGCCGATAATATATCCCTAGACGGAACTCCCGTAAGACAAAAGCCCGTCAAGAAGGGGCCCACGGGCGTGGTCGAAATCGTGGACATAAAATGCGGAAGTTCAGACAAGAACTGGGTGAACCCTATAGCAAATCGGCTAAAGAAACTCGGATTCTCTAAACTATCGTCGGACAACGTTAATTAGCCCTAATGCTGCAACTGCAACTTCTTGATATCGGCTTTCAGATTTCTGTAAGCCAGTTTAGAGAACTTACTCGGTTTATTGCTTTCCTCTACTTCCACCATAGAACACATGCTCGGTATGAATCTCTTGCTCACTGCCCTCTTCTTCTTTGCTGGTTCAAGATTGGATTTTGAGAACTCGCCTCGTTTAGAAGGGTTGTTGGAGCTCGTTCGAGCAGCTAACTCGAGTCGGCTGAAGTATTCCATTTCTTGCATGATGAGTGATCCGACGGTACCTCTTGTCCCTATTGCTACTGGATTAGATTTCGTGGTCATTTTTTCGGGAATTTCTGAGGGGAAGAAGGCGTGCGATATTTCTTGAAGTGTTGTTGTAGGTATTTTCTTGGTCGAAGATTCGGTTAGAGTAGTGTGCATGTTTTAGCTTGTGTGCTGTTGTTGTTGCTTTGTGGGTTTATTTTTTTTCATGAGTTTCTTTAACTTATAATTGGGAGGTGAGGTGAGGTGAATGTGGTCACTGGATTCATGTGCATGCAATTAAATCAATTTATGTTGATCTCTCTCTCTCTCTCTCTCTCTCTCTCTCTCTCTCTCTCTGATATCTACTAACAACTTGTGAAGTATTTATTTTGTTATTAAGTTTTGGTGGATTTTTTATTACTACTAATTATGTAAACCTATCATATGCTGATGATTCCGGTGGTCCTAACTAGGGGTGTAAATCGGACGGAATGGATCGGAAATGCCTTTTTCGGAAAATTTCCAATTTTTTTCGGAAGTTAAAAATGGGTTCCAATTTCCGTTCCAAAAAAATCGGAATTTCAAAATCCATTCCAATTTCGGAATACCTCGGAATAGGCGGAATTTCGGAATTTTCGGAAATTGCATTAATTCTAAATTTTTTGTTCCAAAATCGGAAATAATGGTAATTTTTTGAAATTTTCTAATATTTTCGTAATTTTCCGGCAATAGGCAAGAATCCAAAACAAAGGTCAATAAGATAAAATGTAAACTCTTGTAAAATCAACATAATCAATTTAACAAAGCAAACATAGTTCTTGCAAAATATGATTAGAAAAACAATTCAAAAATACAATATATATATATATATATATATATATATATATATATATATATATATATATATATATATATATATATATATATATATATATATATATATATATATATATATATATATATATATATATATATATATATATATATATATTCGGAAATAAAATCGGATCGGAAATCGGAATTTCCAATAATTTTATATGTAATTCCAATTCCGTTCCAAAAATAATCGGAAAAATCGGAAATCGGAATATCGGAAATCGGAATGAAAAAAGGTGTTCCAAATTCGGATATTTTCGGATCGGAATTGGCGGAATTCGGAAATTCCGTTCCAATTTACACCCCTAGTCCTAACGACCCTCGATTGGCTGATTCAAACCCTCGATTTTTTTTATTATTATTTATTTTATTTATTTTTAGGTGAGAAACGGTTGGTATATATTTTTAGAATTGTGCATGTTAGAGAGAGTAAATGGTGTAAGTTATGTTGGTTGAAGCAAGTTGAATGCTTTAGAAGGTGTTATTGGACCATGAAATTTGTGGATGGTAACACTTATGCTTGTCTTGGAAGGGATCACGAGCGTTTTTCGTCGAAATTGGAACGGAATTTTTGAATTTCGTGATTTAGATCCAAGTGTTTTTGTTTTGGAGATATATTTTTCATTCCAATTTCCGGAAAAGTTCAGTTTTTTTTTTTTTTTTTTTTTTTTTTTTTTTTTTTTTTGTTGTGATATTGTTTTTTTGGAATAGAAATATGTACATAGGAATATTTTGGAATGAAATTATAATTAACTTATAATATACAATGAATGATGTGATGAATTGGACCAGTTGGCAGTGGCAAATTGGAGATACATTCTTTATGTAGTATACATTTTTAGAGAAACAATAGATGAATGTGATACC